ACTCGCCCCCCTAGCTGTAAAAGCCAGTTGCTCCCAACAGTACAAGAGTAGTCCGAAAAAAAAGATCAGAATAGATCTTACAATAACAAAAACAATTGTTTAAGTCTAATGCACTGTAAATAAATCTATATCACATGTCTTCTAATTTATTTTATAAATATTTGCTATAATGTTGTATCTAGTCTCAAGTTAAGCTAGCCAAAGCTTCTGTTATGGGTATTAGATAACTGATACAAATATAATAATAATAATCTCAGGACAATTCACACAGCGCCGTCTAGTCCCAAGTTAAGCTAGCTGAAGCTTGTGTTATGGGTACTAGATAACTGATACTAATACATAGATTTTTTTTTTCGTAAATACATACGTATTATACATAGAAAACACCCAGACCGATACAAACAATCATGCTCATGAATACAAATGTTTGTGCCGTGCGAGGAATCGAACCCGCGACCATCGGATGTAAAGCGGTGTGCTAGACCGCTATACCACCGAGGTCGTCAAATCTTATATATAAAATTCTCGTATCAGAGTTTTCGTTACCATACTCCTCCGACCTTGACCGATTCTTATTAAATTTTGTGAGCGTATTGAGTAGGTCTGAGAATCGGCCAACATCTATTTTTCATCCCCCTAAATGTTAGGGGTAGTCCACCCCTAATTTTTTTTTATTTTAGGGCAAAATAACGTTTTCTGGGACAGCTAGCAGATATATAGATATACTAGCTGTCTCGGCAACGTTGTTTTGCTGCATTTGTACTAATATCGCTATTAAAAAATAGGGGTTGATGCTAGAAGCTAAATAATTATAAAAAGAAAATAAAATATGTCGAAAAAATAAAAAAATATAAATTTAGGGGTGGATATCCCATCACTTAGAGGTATGAAAAATAGATAGTAGCAGATTCTCAGACCTATTCAATATGGATATAAAATTTCATAAAAATCGATCAAGCCGTTTGGGAGGAGTATTGTAACTAACAATGTGACACGAGAATTTTATACTTAAGTGCCGGTGTTTAATTTAGTTACCACACATACATATTATACATAGAAAATGCCCAGATCGATACAAAAGATCATACTCATGAATACAAATGTTAGGGCCGTGCGTGGAATTGAACCTGCGACCATCGGAAGTAAGGCGGTGCGCGGTGTGCTAAACCGCTAGATCACTGAGGCCGTCGATCATATCCGAGGACAGTTACTCTAAAAAGGACGAAATAGATACTTCCGAGTAAGTAATTATTTGTTGAAAATACATCAAAATAGTGACACTTTTTTAACAGACTATTCTTCTCATTTCCAGTTAGCAATCTGAGTGCAGACTCGTATTCACTACCAGATCCAGAGATGCCAATCGGACAGGAACCCTCGAATTCAGACCTAAGATCTCAGGTCATGCAGGAAACACAGATGGGTATTGCATGTTATGTTATTCTTTTACATCCATCTACATTACGATATGTTGAGTCTACCATCACTTCGGAGTTCTTTCGAGCAAAGAACATTCAAGAAACTCAGCTCTTATTCTTAGTAATTCCCAAAGTGGTCTATATCGACCCCAGGGGTCTAAGACGGCAAGAGATTACGACAGCGGTCATCTTGTTTTTACTTTATGTTTTGAACACTAAACTTTACTACAATTAGAATTTTACAAAAAATCAATACCAGGTAAGAATGGGGGTCCAAAACCGAAAAATATGGCAAGGAGTCTACGACACAAAAAAGGTTGGGAACCTCAGGTCTAGAATATAAAAATTTCATCGTTCTAGCTTCTATACAATCTTTTATCTCCCGTTTCAACCCCTTACAACCCTTTTTCCCGATTAGAAACAAGGCTGTGTTATATGTCCTTTCTCAGAGTTTAGACTATTTGTGTACCAAATTTCATTTAAATCAGTTTTAGTTCAGTAGTTTTTACGTGAAAACGCGACAGACAGGTACAGTTACCATGTGGTGTGCCTCGTTGCCTAAAACTGGGACATCTCAAATTAATAACCAAACGAGAAGCACTGAATCACTGGCAAGAAATGCCAGGATTAATACATTCAAAAGACCTTATATCGGGCTTCTCGACCAAATACTCCAATAGATTACTGCAATTGAGTAAAAACAACATATGCATGATGACTAGGGCCCTCACAGGACACTGCAAATTGAACAAGCATATGGCTAAGCTAGGCCTATGCACGACAAGTATCTGCAGATTCTGCCAAACTGAAGAGGAAACGCCGCTTCACATCCTATGTGGTTGTAGCCCACTCATGCATAAACGAAATATCTCCTTTGGAAAGTTTACACTCTTTCCCGAGGAGATAAAAACGGTCGCTCCTAAGAATATCCTTCAATTCTTGTCCCTGACGGGTCTAGGTAGCGAACTCTGAAAAGGGCGAGCACAATAGATCTATGTAGGTCGCAGTGCTACAGGTGCTACACATCTGACAATAGCCCAAACAACCCAATAAAAAAAAAAAAAACAGTTACCATCGTATTTATAATATTAAAATAAGGATTCTGCGTTTTCAGTAATGGCGAGAGCCACAGTCTTCAATCAGCCAACAAATCTGATGCCACTCGAGATATCTTCTGCACCCATAACTGCAGAGCCTCCTCACTCCTTACCAGAAGAACCACCTGATACTCCAAATAACTCTATTAAATGTTGTATTATACTGTAATTTTTTTTATTATTGTGACTATGAATTACATAAGGTATTATAACAACCCCTGTGATCTAGTGGTTGAAAGCAGCGGTAAGTTAGCGGGTTCGATTCTAGCATTATACAAATACATGTATTCATGAGTATAATTGTAATATGATGAGTACGTATACTGTATGAATGATTGATCTGGGTGTTTTCTATATATTTAACCCTTGCTTCGTGATTAGATGGCGCTGCAAATTGACTTGAGTAATGTAAAACGTTTCGGAAACTATCATCCCAAAGGTTCTTCAACCGAACCAAAGGCCATTGTGAAGACTGACCTAACTGACCTTGAAGTCTGACTCTGGGTCACCTCTCTGTACAGCCGCTCCGAGCCGCCAGCAGTAGTTGCTTGGAGTTCCGATCATGGAGCTCGACCTAATTGTCTACAACACCAGATAAAGAAACACGAGTAGTCCGATTAATATACCGAAAAAAATCGATGAATACCGAAAAAGAATCGATAATCGATTAGCAATCTCTATATAAAGCTATGTCCAGACTTGGTTTATTAAGGATTATTTAAAAGAACAACACACAAGTTTCATGCTTGTTCTTCTTGTGATGAGACAGCTTTCCGATAGAGCGGTAGATTAATTTTTTTTTTATGATTATCATTCATTCAAAAGTGCTTAAATTAAGTTTATTTGTGTAATGGATTTTCTATTGCATTCTATTGTATTCTTATAATTATTTAATTATAGAAATTCATTGTTTGATTATAAAAGTGTAGCATTATTTTCAATATATAAAATGCATTTTACTTTTGTCTGTTACTGTATTTGTAGACAGATAAATAGATACTATTTTATTCATTACATTCTGTACCTCAAAGATGCTATGTGATTGGTGATTGGAGATAAAAAAAAATGTCTATCTATCTGCGTGTGTACTTGTTACTTTATTTGAGACGAATTTCGTAGTTATGGACGAACTATAGATTCATGTCTGTTGTTGACGGCCTTGGTGGTCTAGCGGTTTAGCACACCGATTAATTTTCAATGGGGTTCGATTCCTCGCACGGTGAAAACATTTGTATTCATGAGTATGATGTTTGTATTGATCTGGGGATTTTTTTATATATATTATGTATGTATTCACAAAAATTAAAGATCTATATCAGTTGTCTAGTACCCATAACACTAGCTCTGCTTACCGTGGGACTAGATGGCGCTGTGTTAATTGTCCAGGGTTATATATTTATTTATGTTTGTACATGTGAAAATAAATCCTATGAACTTGATATCTTTCTCCAGTGTGAATATAGCTTTACTATAACGTTATATCACTTTAAGTGAACGATACGATATCATAATAAATTAAGTTAAACTTTGAATTTGTACACATTCACTGCGTTCTATGCAATTGTGGTGGATATATGAAATATACAGTAATAAAGAAATATGGACCGAAAGAAAACAGTTCCAGGAACAGGACATGGTAAGCTGAAATTCTTCTTATTCGATACGCTGTTATCAGAACGGTCGTATCACGACGTCATTATGTAGTAGAGGGAGAGGCGGATGTCATCCGCCGTAGAACAGCCACTTCTCCCTACTAGTTGCCATTCTAGTAAACGCGTGGAGTGGATCGCCTACTGCTGCTTTGACTTGGTCGGCCCATCGCATGGGTGATCGTCCACGAGATCTAGTACCGTCAACCCTACCCTGTATAACAAGGCGCTCTATTAATGAGTTGTTTCTACACGTGACCAAAGAAGTTAAGGATGCGCAATTGTGTTAATGTAGATAGACGCTGCTTGATGCCGAGTCATACGCGTCTTGACATCCTATATGCAGCCCCCTTCATTTGAAACCAATGACCAGGTACATGTAGGATGAGACCACTTCGCAATTCGCCAATTGAGTAATTTCAGGTGAATTGCTATTATACAATCATAATCTTGAATAAGTTGAAATATTATTCGCCCCGGCTTCGTCCGGGTGTACATACATACATATAAACATTCCTCTTGATACACTATATCTAAAAAAAAAACTGCGTCAAAATCCGTTCCGTAGTTTTAAAGATTTAATACATAGGGGCATACATAGGAACGGAAAGACAGCGACAGCGACTTTGTTTTATACTATGTAAAGATAATAATAGTGATATTTTCTGTTTTGCGGAAGCATTCTGTAAGGCGTTAGCAAATTGAATATGAAAACGGAAATAGTAATTATTCAATGAACTATAAATGCAGGATACGCAATAATAATACAATATTTATTGTGTTACTACCGTATTTATTATATTAAGGCAAGGATTTTGTGTTTTCAGTGACGGCGAAAGCAGTCTTCAATCAACCAACAAATCTGATGCCTCTCGAGACATCCTCTGCACCCATAACTGCAGAGCCTCCTCCTACCTTACCAGCAGAACCAACTGATACTCCTGTTTATTCTATTAAATGGTGTGTTATACTGTATTTTTTAAATAAAGGAAATATCTATTAACTAGATGTCCGCGACTTCGTCCGTGTGGAATAGTGACTTTGGAGAAGTTGCGGGAGCCAATCACGCTGTTGATAGTAGTGCCTCATTAGTTCACGATGTAAAGTACTCACTCAGGTATTCCAAATCAGGAAGTGCTAACATTACGCATACACGGCTACTTTTTACCATCGCACCGCTCGCCATCGACAGGGAATTCATCCCCACACGCTAGAACCTAAGTGGTCTCGGACAGTGCGGTTTCAGAGGAGCTTCCTCCCGCGTACACTTAGATTGTGGAATGAACTACCTGTCGAGGTTTTCTCGAGAGACTACAGCATGGGGTTTTTCAAGAAGGGTATATTAAGGTGTCTTAAGGGTCGGCAACGCGCATGACACCTGTGGTGTTTCAGGCGTCCATAGGCTACAGTAACCGTTTACAATCAGATGGGCCGTATGCTTGTTTGCCACCTACGTGGAATAAAAAACACATTTGGCGCTAATGGTACTTTGAATTAGCTTTTGGGACATCAAATGACTACGTATACATAAGGGAAACCTTACGCGCTCAATCAACCTGTCCGATTGATCCCCCGTCCAATACAAACGCCGATCATAATTACGATGGCCTGAGCCGACGCTCGAGCCCCTAGCTGTGCCCTCAGACTAAAGTCGTATTCGTCAGGTGGGAGCTGACCTTCAGCTGCTCCATAAGTCCTTCCTTTGGTGGAGTGCCATCTGCACTCGCCCCTATCATCAAGTGAAGCTGTAAAGGCCAGTTGCGGCGTCGAGCGATTTGTTTTTCGGTCTACTCTAATGCTGTTGATTAGAGTAGACCGAAAAACAAATCGCTCGACCAATAATATAATAAATTATATTAATGGATTAGCTATCTAATCAATACTTATCCTTACTAATCATTACTAATAGTATAAATGTCAAAGTAACTCAATCTGTCTGTTTCGCTTTAATGCAAAAACTCTGGACCGATTTAAATGAAATTTGGTATACAGATAGTCTGTTTAAAGGGAAGATGACAGTTTGTACGGTAGTATCGTCATTTGTAATGCTAACTTGAGCTTGAAACTTATTTTTTAAGCTGTTGATTATGTATAAATAAATAGTTTGTAAAAATTTTCCCTAAAGTGGGTAAAATAAAATAGGGAATGAAAGTTTGTATGGAAAATCGTCATATATGAAGCTAGAACTATGACTCTTTTTTCTTTAGCTACTTTGAGTTAGATTATTGAATAGTTTTTCATTATTGACCAATGTTACTATAACATGCAGACGATGTCACAAGCACGGCTAGTATAATATAAAGCTATGTCTACATCTTGGTTCATTATCATTATTTAATTGTAGAAGTTCATTGTTTGAAGAGTGTAGTATTGTGTTCAAGATATTAATTGGATTTTTTTTTGTTTCTGTATTAATAGATATTATTTTATTTACATCTATAGATACATATGCAATATCTCGTATTAGGAATTAGTATAATTTTATAGAAAGCAGTATATTTTATAAAAAAAACTAACTGTCCCCGCAAATGTTTTGCCATGTAAATTAAAATCGCTATTAAAAAATAGGGGTTGGTGATAGAAGGGTGAAAATTTAGCGTTGTATGTATTTTTTACATATATAAAAAGTCGCTGTCGCTGTCTGTATGTATGCACTTAAATCTTTAAAACTACGCAACTGATTTCGATGCATTTTTTTTAAATATAGTAATACAAGAGGAAGTTTTATATATATAATACATGTAACCCGCGCGAAGCCGGGGCGAGTAGCTGGTAATAAAGCGGAAGAGTTTGTTTGTTTGAACACGCTAATCTCAGGAACTACGGGTTCAAATTAAAAATTATTTTCGTGTTGGATAGTCCATTTGTCGAGGAAGGCTAAGCTATATAACATGCTACGATCAATAGGAGCGGTGCTGAAACGTAAAATATTGCAAAAGGTGGAAAAATAAAACGCAGACATAGTTGTGCGGATCAGGTAGTATAAAATATACGTAAATAAAACAGTACATTAAATTAGAGACCAAAATCATTACATAAAAAAAAATAGAAAAACAAATACGGCAAAAAAATTTACGGCCTTGTTGGTCTAGCGGTTAAGCACACGATTTTACTTCCGATGGAGTTCGATTCCTCGCACCGTGCAAATATTCATAAGTATGATTGTTTATATCGATCTGGGGAGTTTTGTATGTACAGTCTAATACCCATAACACAAGCTCTGCTTACCGTGGGACTAGATGGCGCTGTATTCATTGTCTAGAGTTATTCATTTATTTATGTCTGTACATGTGAAAATTAATGCTATGAAGTTGGATGCTAATGATGTTGATATCTCGCTCCAGTGTGAATATAGCTTTACTATAACGTCATATCACTTTAAGTGAACGATACGATATCATAATAAATTTAGATAAACCAGAAACTTGTACAGTCTATGTCGTTCTACGTAATTGTGTTGAATATACCAAATATATTGTAGTAAATAAATATGGACCGAAAGAAGAAAGAAATTACAGGAGACGGTAAGTTCGAATGTTATTATTATTATTATTTTTTTTATATCATAATTTGAGCGCGTTTGACCGCAATCTCACCTGATGTTAAGTGATGATGTGGTCTAAGCTGTTACACGCAAGCTCAAATAGTGCCTTCATTCTAGACTTGAAAGACCCAATGTTGTAAGAGGCAGGAAAAATAGACGCTGGTAGAGAGTTCCACTCCTTAGCTGCTCGCATAAGGAATTATTATTAATTTCTGTATTGCAGAAGCTTTCTGTAAGGCGTTCGCAAATCATTACATAGAATAAAGTCGCTGTCGCTGCCTGTCCCTATTTATGCTTAAATCTTAAAAACTACTCAACGGATTTTGAATCGGTTTTTTTTATTAGATAGTGTGATCCAAGAGGGAGGTTTATATATGTAATATATGTACACTCGTGCGAAGCCCGGGCGAGTAGCTAGTTAAATATTAAAAGGAAAATGATAATTATTGTATGAGTTATAAATTCCTGACACTTATTGCCTGATGGCATTAAATAGCACACTTAATGCCATCAGGCAATAAGTGTGCTATTTATACAAATTTGTGGGCAAAAAAAATGTTATTATGTATATCTTAGTACAATTGAATCTCTACCATGGTTGATTTATCACCAAACTCCTAAACTCCTAAATGCCTATTTTTATTTAAATAAAAATTTAATATGCATTTCTCTGCATTCCTGGATGGTTTGAATCGATAGATAATAATAACATTATCATAATTTTGTATTTATTTTAATTATTATTTTCACGTACCCTCAAATGGGTTGAAGCTGAAAATCAGTGTTTTGTTCCCTGAACAATGTCCCACGCTGAGCTTCGACCTTTTTGTATTGCTACAGATCACACATAATAACACAATTTTATAAATCTTATATCGTATTATGTATTGTCTATTGTTATGAACATGTTGTGTGTGATTAGTAACAAAGAAATAAACGATATATCTATCTATTTATCTATCTAATCAGAACAATTCACACAGCGCCATCTAGTTCCAAACTAAGCAGATCTTGTATTATGGGTACTCAAAACAGATATATATTTACATACATTTTATAAATACATAGGTATATAATATATATATAACACTCAGACAAATAATAATCATGAATATAATTTTTTACACCGTTCGAGGAATCGAACCCGCGACCATCGGTAGTTAAAACTAGGTAATAAATAAATAACCCAGCGCTATCTAGTCCCACGGTAAGCAGAGCTTGTGTTATGAGTACTAGACCACTGATGTAAATACTTGATACATTTTTTTAAATACATACATAGAAAACACCCAGACCGATACAAACAGTCATACTTATGAATACAAATGTTTGTACCATTCAAGGAATCGAACACGCGAACATCGGAAGTAAAGCGGTGTGCTAAACCGCTAGACCACCGAGGCCGTCTAAATAAATAGATAGTAGATAAATGTTATATTTGCATCTATAGGATACGCAATTGGAAATCAAACGCAATGGACATCACGTCATCATGTGACGTCTGTGATAAACTAATAACACATGACTTAATATAATTTATGTTTCAATAATATTGTTATTATTTTAATTTTTTGTACACAAAATTGTATACTTGGCGGACTTAATGCCTGATAGCATTTTCTACCAGTCAACTGTTGATGCCTGATGGCATTCTCTATCAGTCAACCGTCGCGCTGACCAGAGATAATAAGGCGGTGCAATATGGTCCATGTTTCAGTTACAAAAGCCATCATGTACAATAAACCAACCTATGTGATGCCACAAAAGGAAACATCTAAAACCTCAAAACCAGATTCAAGTGTTCAAATGTGTAATATGTAAGTATAATAATATATGTATTTCTTTTTTGTTAATGGTACATTTAGGTAAAGAACTCACGGACTACTCTAATGCTGTTGGCCTCAGTCTTTACAGCTTCACCGGATGACCATCATCCGGTGAAGCTGTTTTTGTTATTACAGAATAGATTTTTTTTTCGGTCTACTCTAATGCTGTTGGCCACAGCTGGCCTTTACAGCTTCATCGGACAATAGGGGGCGAGTGCAGATGGCACTCCAAACGTGCAGAAGGACTTATGGAGCGGCTGAAGGCCAACTCCCGCCTGACGGATACGACTTTAGTCTGAGGGCACCGCTAGGGGTTCGAATCTCGGTTCAAGCCGTCGTAATTTCGATCCTCGTTTGAATTGGACGGGGGATCGATCGGGGGAGGTAAATTGCTGTGTGGTGTAATAATTATCATAGATCAATAGTTAGAAGAATATTAATTAATGTATTTTTTCATTATTACATATTATTAACCTTCTTTATGAGATGATGTTGAAACTTGAAGACGGCCTCGGTGGTCTACTGGTTTAGCACATCGCTATACTTCTGATGGTCGCGGGTTCGATCCCTCTCACATTATATGAGGATGATGCATGTGATGAAAGAAATTTTCTTACAATATTATTATTAAAGTTTTAACAGATAATAATGATATATATATATATTTTCTTTTATAATTTTTTTTCAATAGCATATGCTGGTAGTCACTCTATTCTCAAAATTTTGAATTTAAATGAAATTTTATTATTGTAAATATGTACAACATTTAAAAAAATATAAGAGCTGAGTTTCTTGTCAGTTCTTCTCATTTCGAAATCATTCCGAACTGACAGTAGATTTGACATATCATAAGAGTCTGTAATAGACCTACATAGATATTTTGAATTTTGAATTTTATAATCATGCAATTAGTCTACCAGTGAAAGATGATTCACCATTGAGAATCCAGCCTCAGATACTCCAGCTTATGCCAGGTTGTTAAAGTCTGGTATTTTACGTCTCATAAGACGTGCCATATAATCAGGCAATGTTAGTTGAACAGCAAGTTTATTCGGATGTCTGTCCAGTTTGATTTTATATTTTTTTATTGTCTGTGATTTCCGCCTTGACAGATTTGATCCCCAGGTGCTGATGAACCATCGAGTTACTAATAAATAAGTTGTTTTCTGTAACGCAGGCGGCGTTACAGAAAAAACAAACAGGTAAAAATTATATATAAAAATATAATATTAATAGTGTCCCTTTTTTATGATTTCAGTGTACAAATAGGCGGCAACTCCAAAGGTATGGATGAAAATCTTCGCAACTTCAAATCCAGTATCACAAAAATGCAAAGAAATCTACCTGACAATACAGACAACAAATATATATAAATATATGTGTATATTATGTGATACTGCACCTACTTTTGTATTTAAATATCATTAGTATAAACAAATGAATTTTCATAATAAGAATTTGAAACGTTCAAGAAAAGGAATAACCTTTTAAAAGGCCGCACTTGCAATTCTCCTGGTGTTGCTTCTATTCCGAATTCAAAATATGAACGAACTTGCGGCTCACCTGATGGTAAATAATTACCGCCGCCTATGAGCACCCATAGGAATGCGTAGCGTGCATTTTTTTTTACAATTATTAATATAGCGATATGTAAGTAACATCTTGACGTTTTTATTTAATTACACAATTTAAAAGTGTTATATATTCTTTATTGCATAGATAATATAGAAATAATAATAATAATAAAACTCTATATTGTGTGCACAGATTAAACAATAAGAAAATAAAGTAATTATGAAAGGCGGTCTTATCGCTAAAAGCAATCTTACAGACAAACTAGAAGAGAGGACTTATGTATATAGAATAGGTAGGTGACACACATAATACTATTTACTATACTAATAAATATACATACATACATATATACTACAAACTGGAAGAAATGGGAAATAATCTTTATTCAAATAAACTCATTACAAGCACTTTTGAATAGTCCTATTTTGATTCTACCAATCATTCGGAATGCAGATTCATCACAAGAAGAATGAGCAAGAAACTTGTGTGTTGCTCTTTTTAATAGATGTTTTTTTTATATAAATAATTACAGTATAACAAGTAAGAGGCATGCGATAATCAACATAGAAGTCGCTACGCACTCATTATTAATGTAATCAGATAATATTGTCAGTACTATAGATTTAAAGTTTTTCTATAAAAACATACAGTAAAAACATGTAGTATAAAGAGAGATAATGAGATCTTAGTGTATTTTTAAATGATGCTTGTGTTTGAGCTAATCGAATGTAGAGTGGTAGAAATCAAATAATTTAAGGACAATGTGGGCAAAAGACTTGTGCCTAGAAGAGTGTCTCCACTCTTCTAGGCACAAGTCTTATGCCTGTTTTGCGTTACTGGAGATCTTCCAGTCAACACTAAACTAGATGATATTGAGTGAGTAACTAAGTGCAACATAATAATAATAATAATCTCAGGACAATTCACACAGCGCCATCTAGACCCAAGTTAAGCTAGCTAAAGCTTGTGTTATGGGTATTAGATAATTGATACATATACATAGATTTTTTTTGTAAATACATACATATTATTCATATAAAACACCCAGACCGATACAAACAATCATACTCATGAATGCAAATGTTTGTGCCGTGCGAGGAATCGAACCCGCGACCATCGGTCGTAAAGCGGTGTGCTAGACCGCTAGACCACCGAGGTCGTCATATGGTCGTCATACATAATGGTGCAAAAAATATATACTTGCGTTGTTTTTTTTATTGTGGAGATAAATATTACCACACAATCATGCTTATAAGGTTTGTACTGTGCGAGGAATCGAACCGTCGTACCATCCGCGACCATCAGAAGTAGAGCAGTGTGGTAAACCACTAGACCATAGCGACTGTTAAAATGTATGAAAAAATATTGAGATCTTCAATTTGCTTTAATACTGTAATGTATATATGAAGTGCTATATATAAGGGGGAGTGAGGGGGGAAGGGGATTGTTAGTGGTGTCAGGTCGACCTCCACGCGGTTCCCCCTGGAAACCATCGTGATAAATTCCTGGTGAATTTGTCACGATGAGCTAACTGACCTGACCTCATACTCATCTTATCATCCTTCACTGGTGCCCCGCCAGCGTAAACCGTTAGCGCAGGCGGGTGTACCATTCCATTATCATTAATAAAAAAAAAATTTATATATATACAAGGGGCTGAGAGGGGGGAGGGATAATGTGATTTAATAATCCTATTGGTCGTCAAGTTGCGTGGTGGGCCGGGTCATTGGGCTCCCTAAAATATGGTCGAGCGCAGTGATGGCTGGCTCATCCGTCATACTCGTGAACGAGTGCTGCTTATAGGGACTGGTCTGCTCTTATCACTACGACTGATTTAATCTTATTGTGTTTTTATATTTGAGCCTAAATAAATTAGTGCTGGTTGGTAGTTTGTATTCACACGTTTCGACTTGTAAAATGTGAACTTACAAGGATTGTTTAAAAGAGCAACACACAAGTTTCTTGCTTATTCTTCTTGTGATGAGACAGCTTACCGAATAAGCGGTAGATTTAAAAAAATGTTGACTATTCAAAAGTGCTTTGAAAAGTTTATTTGAATAAATGATTTTCTATTCTATTCTAAAGTACTATGTCATGTTGACCTGAATTCCCCTGGAAAATCATTATTGTTAATTCTTGGAGAATTTACCATGATGGGCTAATAGACCTGATCTCATACTCATCATATTATCTTCGAGTGGTGCCTCGTATACCATTAGCGCAGGCGGGTGGACCTTAACTTTTTAGATATACTAACATAGGCTAAGTACAATTGTTACTAACAAATTGGATCTCTGTTATCTGAATAAATAAATTTAAATTAAAAATTAAATTAACGATGTCATCAACTATGAATGTTATAATACGAGGAGGAGGAGGGAGGAGAAATGCAAGTCCTTTTTGGTTGCTTTCACCTTTTCCCGGAAACATCAAGGAATTCCAGGGGACACCGTATAGTAGACCTGACGGAGTCCGTGGTACAAGAAATGGGGTCACTAGTCCCCTTTGCTAAAACCAGCTCCCCTCCAACTATAGAGTTAGTTATCATATGTTAAGAAAAAAGATGTCAATGACCTCAATAATGTTCGTTTTACTAGAATGAAGTTGTAAATTTTGCATTGAACCTAAGATTCGTTCTTATTTCAATGACAATAAAGTTGATAATGGATGGGTCACAGGTTAGGTATGAGTGTGTCATAGCCAGAAGCGATGTTATTGCCTCTACCAAAATGGACACACTTCATTCAGTGTTCGACTGTCCTTGCATTAGCTTACACTTCGTTGTGATTCTATTTTTGAAATTTCACAGTGTTATTGTTTTTATTGAATAATAAATACTGCCAGTGTTGAGAAAGTTTTTATTTATTTTGTGTTTGGTTGCCAGTCACCGATTTTGTTTGTAAGTTTTCAGTTTTGTTTTATTTTTAATTTCGCATGGCTGTCTGCAAATTTTGCGTTGCTATGCATTTAAAGTTGCTAGTTTATAAGTGAAGTTACGTCCTTGACAACACGTGCGACGTCGTGACTAACACACAGTTATTTTTGCACACGAACTAACAGTAAACAGTATTTTATTTATTGTTACATTTAAGTTAAGAATCCTTGATTTATTTATGTTATTTTACAACCATTTATTTTATTTACTTATCAGTCTTTTTAGGTCAAATATTCGGATATAAATTAGAAATAGTTCTTAACCATTTTTGATAAATTTATTCATACAATAGTAATAGCAATAATGAAATTGTAATGTTTACGAAATGGCCGTAGCGACAAAATGGCGGATGGCGAATATTTTGTTGAACCTGTTAATATAAGTGGCTATCAAATTAAAAATCCTTGAGAGTAGACAAGGATAAAGTGATATCCAACTGGTTTCAAAATGGCTGCCGAAAACTAAAAATAAAACAAATTAGTGGTTTCTATCAGAGCAACAAAATAAATAGTATGCAGTTAAAATTTTGGTCCACCAGTTTTTTTGTACACTCATCACGCAAAAACAATGTAAGGAATTGAATTTACCTTTCACCTATGTATTATAATGACATAAAATGTTCATATTAATATCTGAAAATAAACTTTGTACCCCTTTTTACGAAAATTGCGTGGTCACAGGAGTATAAAACTCGCACTTATAGTTTATATATATAGAGAGAGAGAGAGAGAGTGCAGAATGCAATTTTTTTTTTATAAATGCATAAAATACAATAAATCAGTAAAAAAAAACAAATCACATACTAACATGTATTGGACATACACGTATATGTTAAATTGAGTATTAATATAATTTATTTGTGGTCGAATTTCGACCACCAGTTATTATAAAGGAAAATGTTTTAAACAAAGGATTGGTAATAATAAAAAAGTATGCCATCACAACTCGTTTCCTAGTTGGGGCAGACAGACAGATATTGTCAACTGTCATTATCGTGATAAACGACTGGGCCATGTCTCAGTTAATATGTTATATACTAGCAGCCCCGCGGTTTTACCCGCGTGAAATTTATAGCCTATATGTTATTCTGATGTGTAAGCTATATTACTGCAAAGTTACATCAAAATCCGTTCAGTAGTTTTTGCATGAAAGAGTAAAAAACTTTCGCGTTTATAATATTTATTAATAAGATGACTTATCAATAATATTTACCTATTTAGTAACTAGCTGTGCCGGCGACTTCGTCGGCGTGGGATAGTGACTTTGACCAAATACCTACCTATAGAAAAATATTTAATAATCTGACCCGAAAACAAAAGTTTCAACGTTCTAGCTTCAAAAATGGCACACATGTTTATTAAATAAAAAAATAAAAAGATTTGAATTTAAATTAAAAATAAAATCCTATTTTGTAAAACATCCTTTTTGTAATATTGCTAAATACCTAAACCAAAACAATGAAAATATAACTGATTACAGTTTACACATTATTGTTTCATTGTTACACTAATGTGTATTTGCATATTTATTTCATTAATGTAATTATATTCGTTATAATGACTCTGTAATCGAGTTGTAATTTGCAAATTATAATTACAGTGCGGTGAAGGGGGGATGAGTTTTTTTTTAGTGGATGTCAATGGAATGGTGCACCCGCTTGCGCTAACGGTTTACGCTGGCGGGGCACCAGTGGAGGATGATAAGATGAACATTAGGTCAGGTCAGTTAGCCCATCGTGACAAATTCACCAAGAATTTATCACGATGGTTTCCAGGGAGAACCGCGTTGAGGTCAATCTGACATGGTACATTGCTAGCAATAAGATCATCATCAAAATGTGCATTAATGATTATTAATCCATTGATACCAATGTACCATTTCAGGTGGACATCAATGCGGTTCCATCTGG